GTACTAAAAATGATAGAAAAAGCTGTAGATAACTACATCAGAAAGGAAATTTTGGAGAAGGCACCTCTACAATCGTGCCAACATGCATACAGAGCAGGCAGATCGACAGAGACAGCGCTCTGTCAACTTACAGAAATCATCCAAAAAACCTTTAGGGAAAAAGAAACAGCCATATGTGCCTTCCTGGATATACCCGGGGCTTTTGATAACACGTCCCATGGGGCGGTAAAAATTGCTCTGGAGAGGAGAGGAGTGAATAAAACCATAGTCCGGTGGGTCTGTGAAATGCTGACTACGAGAATAGCTGAGACAACTATGGGTAAACAAACCACAAGCATCAGAACCACTCGTGGTACACCTCAAGGGGGAGTAACCTCACCCCTGTTGTGGAGCCTGGTAGTTGATGAACTCCTGTTCAGACTGACAAATCAGGGTCTAACTTGTATAGGTTACGCCGTTGATATTGTCATTATTGCCAAAGGCAAGTTTGAGGGCACACTATACGACCTCATACAAAAAGGCCCAAGTACTACCGAAGAATGGTGCACATCGGTGGGGCTGAGCATCATCTCAGCAAGAACCACTATTGTACCATTTACAAGGAAAATTCAACTTACTAGGGAAATTCATCTAAGTGGAGGATATTTGATTTAAGTGGAGCTTTTGAATGTGACCTTTGTTTCTACGAGAGTCATTTGAATGTGACTACCTAAACCTAAAAATAAACAATTGTTAGGAATGCTTACTTATGTAAGTAGATTTATAAAAAACTTCTCTCATAAAACTGAACCTTTAAGAAGTCTTTGAAAAAAAAATATTGAATTTATTTGGGACGAAAAGAAAGAAGAAGCATTTTCAAATTTAAAAGAAGTTCTTACTACTAAACTTGTGTTACAATTCTTCGATATAAATAAATCTATTACCATCTCGGTAGATTCGTCAAAATCAGGGGTAGGGGCTTGTCTTTTACAGGAAAATCTTCCTTGTGCTTAGGCCTTGAAAGCACTAACTGAAACGCAAACACGATACGCACAGATTGAAAAAGAATTACATACCATATGTATCAATAAATAGAAGAAAACAAAACATCAATTACTTCATTACGTGAACGTAGCCCAGAGCCAAATAACAATTCATTAAGGTGATATATGGCCGATTACGAAAACTTTTGCCCCGTCGAACTTTTTTTCTAATGACTCCCATCCACTACAATTTACTTGGGAAAACTTTTCCGAAGTTGTTCACTTAATTAGAACGTGATTTTTCCGTTCGATTCTAGTTTGGGGTGATTGAAAATTTAAAGTGCTCACTTGTTTGGAAAAAACTCTTCGCCTAAATCGATTTAAATTTGCAACTGGATAATAATAATTGGAACTAATTTTTCAGATGTAAAATATTATTAGTGGTTAGTTATTATTTCTATCTTGTCAGCTACAAAAGTATATTTCTCTAGTTGAAACTAATGAGGCCTTATTATGAAAATGACAATAAATCGAATACAAGGGACAACGATAAAGATGAAAAGAAAAATTAACTTTATCGGGCAAAAGCGAGAAGGTAATCACTCGCGATTTTAAGGACGGAAAATCTCCATTTGTAGAGATTTTCTTGAAACTCCATAGATCTTGTAACATTTGAAATGTCACAACAATATAATTATTGTTCTTAATTATTCTCATATATTTTGGACTCATTTAAACAATGTTTAAAGGTACTATTTCGTACACCTAGCGACATCTATGATTCTTCTGACTAGTTTTCCTAACCTAATACCGAAAATTCTGTTACTAAGGTTATTTCCGAGAAACCTATAGCGTTGTCATTTTTTATAATTCCGGCAGGCTTGACAGGTCAAGAAAGAAAAGAGAGAACCAATAAAGGTACTTTTGTCTTTTCTTTTATGTCTTGGGACCGAAAAGGTCGTCCAGCCAGATTTTTTAAAATCTTAAAATTTTATCTTTATTTTTGGCTATCGAGCCCATACTTTTATAAATTGACTAGCGAGAAGAGTGATTAATCGTGTCAGTTAGAACGTTTCTTGGAAAATCAACAGGGTGTTGATTTTTGTGAAGATTTTGGAAAGTGAGGTTACTATCGGCCGTACAGGTATGTAAATCCCTTTTTCTCTCTGATAAATGGATCCTTATATTTCTTCAATTCATTCAGGCAACTTTGCTTCTGAGTGAAAATTGACGAATTTGAGACCATGCTCTTCATGCTCAGAGTAAATCTGGCCCCCCTTTTCAAAGAATGTTGGTGTCCTGTAAGAAGTTGATCCCGAACCATTATTTGGTTGCCTCCAGCCAGTTTGGTACTTCTAGATCTCAAGTTTGTGAAAACTTCCACGGATTCCGTCCAGGCTTGTATAATTATTTACCTATGGGTCTCTTAAATGTGCCATATTAATTACCGTAACTTACCTTTTCTTTATTGCCCCTATCGATTAGCTTAATTAGCTAGTTAATATCTTTGTAAATCTCGATTACCGTTACTTATTATTACCTTTTTTTTATCGCCCCCTATCGATTAGCTTAATTAACTAATAAATCTAATATCTTTGTAAATCTCGATTACTGTTACTTATTATTACCTTTTTTATCGCCCCCTATCGATTAGCTTAATTAGCTAATTAATATCTTTGTAAAATCAATTACCGACTCGTTTACCGTATAGTAGTATTTGGCTAGAATAGCTAACTACTGTTTAAATATAATTATTAATTTATTTTATTATTCATAATCAGATATTTACCTTCATTAACGTTTTCTTTATTATTATCTAGTATTCTAGTATCTAATAATTATGGGTTATTATAATTATTACAAATTTATTTCTTTCATATCGAGTACCGATAGATATGAGTGGCAGAAAAGACGCGCATAATACCTGTAACTTTTCAATTACTTCATATGCGAAAAAGTGACCTTAATGAAAGTTGCTTAGTAAATTATTTCCCACAATTCTACTCAAACGTATTGCTTATGTCACTTCTGGTTTGTTTGCTATCTAGACCAACTCTGTTTTTTCAAATAGAACACCCTGTATATGATTGCATATTTGGATTCTACGTGAAATTCTGAGTAGATCTCATGTGATGTACCCTATACGTAAGTTTGACAAATGAAAATTGACTTTTTGCAACTTTGACAGGCCGTAAAACCTAAACGGTTAATTTTAGAGGAAAACCGATTTCACATTCCTATCTTAGATTTCCATAAACCATAAATCATTTGACACCAATTTTGAATTTAATCTATGATAAAAAATTCCAATTAAATTTATTCGCCGGTTAAATTCAAAGTTGATGTCAAATGATAGTTTATGGAAATCTAATATAGGAATGTGGAATCGGGTTTTCTCTAAAATTAACCATTTAGGTTTTACACGCTATCAAAGTTGCAAAAAAATTAATTTTCAACTGTCAATATTTCCAAAACAGTTGAACTTAGGTATGGGTGTATCACATGAAATCTGCTCAGAATTTTACGTAGACTCCAAATATGCAATCACATACAGGGTGATTCATTTAAAAAAACAAAGTTGGTCTGGATAGCAAACAAACCGGAAGTGACAGAAATAATTTTTCCAGGTAGAAATGTGGGAAATAATATACTGAGCAACTTTCATAGAGGTCACTTTTTCCTATACGAGGTAATTAAAAAGTTACAGGTATTATGCGCAACTTTTTGCCACTCTGTATAGTGAATTGATTAATCTTTAGAGGTTAATTTAACCTTTAATTTCAAATCAATAAGGTGGTATTTCTGCAAGGTAAACCAATGTAAAATCTTTAGGTAGTTGGAGTTGAGTTTTATGTTTACATATTTTGAATTTTAATTACATTACAGGTAAGACGGTAGAGCTCTCCCCGATATCCTTAATTTCAGGTTTTTGATATTTATAACTCCCCAGAGATTATTTATTACCTTTCTGCATTTATAAATTTGTTTTTCATTGATAAAGGTTAATTTCAATCTTTTTATATACCTATTTAAATTAAGTTTGGCTTTTGGAAAGCTGCTTAATTTTTTCTAAAAAAAGAATTTGGATAGTGAACAATATTCTTCTTAGAACTACTGAACAACAAGTTCGCCATCTTGTCACAAATTTTCAATGAACAACAGTTCGACATTTGGTTAATAAATTATTGTTTTTAGAATTCCAAAACTTGTATTTTTATTGAATGAGTTAAATGTCAGATAACTATTAGATTTATTTTCCTTTTCAGATTTTTGCATTTATCTTTTTAAACAATAACTAATTATTGGAATAGTGTCTAGTTTGGCTATTCTTTGGTAATCAGAATAATTTATATAAACTAGGGGCGTCCTCACTCTACTGTACCAACACCAAGGACCACCCCAAGCTAAACAACCACTGAGCATAGTCGAGCACTGATTATAGGCATTCTTTTGTTTCAACAGAAGAGCGTTACAATCTACATAAATATCCTGGGCTGGGACTCTATAGCAGATCCCCATCACTATAACACTCTTTTTTCTTTGCAAATTCAATAGAGAAAGAGAAAATATCTCTATTCGTTACAGAGAACTCCAGGAATATCCTGAGATATCAAAGCATATCCTTAGATCTTTATGGAGATCTCCGTGTATCTCATCTGGACCTCCATATAAATTAATAACTATGGTACTAGTTCAAATGATGTGCGCATGCAATTACGCTTTTCCGATTCTACACGCCTAAGTTTTTGGATTTCCACCCGAACTCCAGTGAATCTCCATGTATTTCAATCAGAACTGGAGAACAACGTTCTCATGAATTTGTCTTTGTCAACGTTATGGAAACATGAATATGGGCGACGAAGACAAAACCTTCGAGAACGCTACTAATATGTTTCAAAAATAAGGTCCCACGGATATCCATGGATTTTCACAAATCACCATCTCGTAGGATAGAAGATTTCCACAGTGATTAAAGAAATTTCCAAATTTAGATTAAAATTTATGCCTTATGATTCATTAATTAGTCGAGTAACTTACCTTGTTGTCCTTCTGCCAAGAGCACGAACCCCTTTTGTTAAACACTTTACACTCGAGATAGGCGTCCTGACCTGGATTAACTTCGGTGTAGCTCGGTTGCTGTTCAAACCTTTGTCCGGCGAGGATTTCTGGAAAATAACAATAAATTTATGGTAAATGCTCTCAAATATAACCTTTTATTTGTTAATTAAATAATTCTCTTAAATAAAAGCACATTCATAGACTTAAAAATGGTAATTATGCACCATTATTCTGCTGAAAGCTTTTTCCTGGAAAACATTTCGAGATGCATAAAGCGGACATTTCAACGTGGAACAAAAAAAATTAAATGTTTTAAAGAGCAAATGCGGATTATAAGAGAGTAAGGCCGTGATGTTTATTCTAATGACTCTAATTTTCTTTTTCCAGATAAAAATTAGTTTTTCTCTAGAGACTCCAAAAAATAAAAATCAAATAATTCGACAACATGGAAAAATATCCCTAGGCAGTCTTTGATGTTATATGCAAAACGCCCTGAAAAAAAAATCACTCCCTGGGTAGTTTTTTCAATCAGCAATGTAACCCTGGGCGGACGGATTTGTATTTAACGCATTCACAATATTTGGATAATTACGAAAAGCTTTTAGCCCGATGCATATTAATGAGCGGAAAAATATTGAAAAATCTCCGGGTAATTCGATATTATGATGGGTTTGTCCATTAGACCCCAATCAACGCATATTTTTGTTCAATTTTTTATCCTAGATTAGAAAAAGTTTTAAAAAAAACCCAAAGTATAAAGAGATCCTATAGAATTAATCAAGAAAAGTATTGGCAATCGTATACAGATGAATTATGGAGCCTTCAAGGAACCAAAGATAGGGAAAATTGAAATTTGCGTAAGGTACTTCATGTGCGGGGCGCATAAATTACATCTAGTGAAAAGGATTTTCAAGAGACAAATGATATCGTCTCGTATAATTATTTATTTTCACTGAAAATGTGTAAATTTATTCACACCTCTTGACACAAAAATTCGATATTTCTTGTTTTTATAGCAACCAGACAAAAAATATGACGAGGAACACAAATGTCGCATAGTTCGGATTACGGACGCTGAAAAGGGTATTTTACTTGCGCTGTACTTTTTTATTTTTGCCTGAAAGCTGAAATATAATATAAGGAGTATATGCTTCGTTTGTATTTTATTTTCGTACAAGGAAATAATAAGACGGTTTTGATTGTCTATTCTAGATCTAGAATAGATGGTTTTATTTTAAAATTAGATTTAATGTGAAAAGTTCTACTTAGGGGAAAAATAAATTCGATTTTTTTTCCTGAAGAAGCAAAAGGGGCATTTATTTTAAATAAACATTACCTGCTGTTTTGTCCCTCAGATTTGTTTTTAGGGTAGACAAACAGAGGGGTGAATATAAATAAATATAATATACATATGCAAAATATTAGAAGGTAATATGTATGCCACTGTTGCCAGGTCAAAAACATTAAATTCACCAGAAATTGGAATGAAAAATCACCAGATTTAAAAAAAAAAAATCACCAGAAATCTTGAAGGTTGATTTTTCAGGCTATATTACGAATTGTAAACGAAAAAATGCCTTTTTAAAAGCAATCCTGGGCTGGGGCTGGGATCATGACAAGTAGAATTCTATTTTCATGACGTCACCCGCGACCTATTTATCGCGTATACTACAGGGGATGATGACTGTTGCTAGGAAACTTGACGTCATAAAAATAGAATTCTACTTGTCGTGATCCCAGCCTATAATACAGATAATTGTAAGCAAAAAATTCATCAAATCAAGTAAGTCTTGGAAACAACCCAGCCATTTTAAATTAACTGTCAAAAACTACAGGGCCTACTTTGAAACGTTAAATTGCGTTAGGATTACTACATTTTTCAACTAAGGTTGCTACGTTTTAAATTTTTCTTCCAAAACCTAATAATTTTGTGAATTTTAACAAATCCTTTGCTAAAAACAGTTCAGAAAAAATGTATTTCTATCTCTTTTTTTATACAAACTAGAAAAAAAAGACACGAATACACTCAGTGCACACAAATGCCGTTGAAAATAATGCAAATTGAATAAAACAATTAAGCATAGGGTCGGGGTCTTTTTAATTCACGAGACCGAAGAGCCGGAGTCTACTTAAGTTACGAGCCCAGAGGGCCGGGGTCTTTTTAAATTACGAGTCCGTAGGGGCGAGGGTTTTTATGTGCGGTCACCTTCATCGTGTGTACCTGGTTTTTCAGTTTCAATTTTTCGGGACTTTTTTTATTTTCTGAATTGAGTAGATGAGAAAACTCCAATTAAGTAGTTGAATTTTAATTGCCGGAAAAGATTACTTATTATATTTGGGTTTGATAGTTCAACTATTGGATGACATTGTGGCCCTTAGACAAAATGTCGGATTCGAAGTTCGATAATGCCATATGGTACCCCCGGCTTGGGAGGCTACGGGGGAGCGTCGGCAGGTGACGGATGGCCGGACGGCCTATGTTTTATAGGTTATCACCGAATATCCAATAAGGTGACGCTGACCAACTCTCCAATCCAAGGTGTAACGCGATCCGTTCCGAGGGATGCATGTGGGAGAGCACCACCTCAAACGGAGCCTTGAAGATACCAGGCGACCTCTTTAAATAACCAGCTTTACCACGTCGTGTGAGGCTCCGACGTGGCTGACCTTTATTTCCCTAGCTATTCGTGGGAACAAACATGGATAAGAAAAACTCAAAAAACAAAGAAAAGCGGGACGACACCGCTAAACCAACTGCTGACCGAATGAAGCATGACATCCAAGACAGTCAGCAGGCGGGACCCTCACACCCCCCGAGATCACGTCAGAGACAAGAGGGCCCTGCAAAAGATAAGAAGGGGGAGAAACCCCAAAGAAGAAAGGCTGATCCTAGGAAAAAACCATACTACCCACCTCTTGGTCAACCGGGAGGGCTTGATGACCCACTGAGAAAAGGCAGAGAGCATGACACCAGAAGAAGCCAGAGAAAATGCACTGACCAGGAAAGTGCAGACACCAGACAAGGCACAGAAAAGGGGGCCCAGAACATATCCCCTCCGCACAAAGCGGACGTGAAAAAAAAAAAAAAAAAAGAGGAACCTCTTCATGCTGACAGAGCCGCTGAGCCAAACACCAACTACGCCAAGTCTGCAAAAACCATAAACGTAGCAGCACTCCCCGCAGCATTTCCTAAGGAAACCCTCAGTGCAGAAGAACTTTTTGCTCTAGAGGACGCCATTGTGGAGGAAATAATGAAAGGGGCGGAACATAAACTCCAATTTGGAGGCATACATTTCCGACCAAGCATGCTGGTGATTGATTACCTCACCAAAGAAACAGTTGAGTGACTGATAGAACCTGGCAGGGAGGAGAGCTGATGGTGTGCCTGGGAGACGATATCCCAAAGGCGCACACCATCACAGTCTTCTTCCCAAGAAGCAAAGGGCAAGACCCCCTTAAAATCCTAAGCCTGGTGAACACCTAAAACGAAGGACTTAGCACTCAGCTGTGTAAAGTAATGGGCTGCAAGGACGAGGCTAATGGCCAGCTACTCAACATCGGTCCTGCAAAACCATTGGAAAATGGGGTACAACCTCTTCTATAGGTTCGGAAAAATCCCCGTACACGGCCTAAAGAAGAGAAAGGGTAAAGAACTACCTCCCTATATGGGCCAACAAATGAATGATCAGTTGAATTTCTAGTTAAATCCTGATTCGGGTCAGCCGGTATATCCACAGGATTTGCTTCTTGCATACAAAATTTTCCAATGAGTTTATTGATATAACTTTCTTGATGAATAAAAATAAAAATATAGTCTTCTTCTTTTACTATTTCAAGTCCAACAAAATTGTTAACTTTGATGTTTACTTTAACTTCAAAGTTTGTTTATAATTTTGCTAAAACGATTTCCAGTGCATTTTCACTCGAAGATAGGAGCAGTCCATCGTCAACATAAATAACGAGCAATACTAAGTCACCATTTACAGTACCTCTGCAGACACACTTTTCTGAATCAAATTGTTTAAAACCATATTGTGTTAGAACACAGTTGAATTTTTGATTCCAACATCTCTAAGATTGTTTTAATCCATACAATGACTTCAGAAGTCTACACACTTTGTTATTGATTGTTGAAAAACCTTTAGGCACTTCCATATATATTTCTTCATTTAAGTCTCCATAGAGAAAAGCTGTTTTTATGTGGAATTGCTTATAATTGAATAGTTCTTGTTTGCAGCAACTGATAATAATACTCGGATAGTATCATAACGAGTAGTTGGTGAGAAAATTTCAGTAAAATCTATACTTTTTTCTTGTGCAAAACCTTTTGCACACAACCTTGCTGTATAACGAGCAGGCTTATCTTTTATACGAAACACCCACTTTGACTCAATAGCCTTCTTGCCGTCAGGTAAGTCTTGCAGTATCCAAGTTTTATTTTCATTCAGGGCTCGAATTTCTTCTTCAATAGCCTTTTTCCATTCCTCAGCATCTTTCCCAGTCACAGCTTCTTCATATGTATTAGGAATATTGACTTCTACCAAATTCAATTAATAATCTCCAAATCTTTCTGGTAATTTTATTGATCTTGACGGTCTCAACTTGGGAATAGGTGTATTTACAGTAACATCTGGCTCAATATTATTGTTTACATTACCAATGTTTTCATTTTCGCTGTCACTCTCAATCGGTTGTTTATCGTCAATATCTTCCTCTCGATTGTTTTGAACGTTTTAATTTTCAATGTCATTTTCAGTCAACCAAAACTGCTGCATCCCTCTTTTGTTCTTTTTGAAACCCCATACATTTTTCAGTGAATTTTACGTTGCAAGAAACTGTAATTTTTCTGGTGTTTGGATTTAGTAGTCTGTAATTTGTTGAATTTCTATTATAACCAACAAAAATTAGTTTCTCACTCTTTGGTTCGAGTTTCCTCCTTCTTTGGTCGGGCTGATGTGCATAGGCTACACAACCAAATATTTTGATGTGTCCAAGATAGGGCTTTTCACCTGTCCAATTCTCAAAAGGTGTTTTCTGATTTTGTTTCGATGGTACTCGGTTTAGGAGATAAACTACAGTGTTTGCAGCTTCTGCCCAGATATAATGG